CCTTACTGGTAGCTGGGACAACCAGTACGATAGTCATTCAAACACAGTGACCTTATGACACAGTTTACACAGGTAACAAATGGTACATTGCAATGTTAGTACGTCCATAGTGTCTAGAAAAGCATTTGTGTCACACATTCACATAGCAAAAAACGTTTTATTAGGAATATTACGAAAGCAACGGCTTTATTCTCATTATTATTACCATTTTTATTATTACTGTTGTTATTATTATTATTAATCTCATGTTATTAATACTTCCAGTCGGATCGCCCGGCTAACGCCGAGCTCTTATTGGAAGCCCGGCTTCGCCGGGCTCATGCAACTGCTTTAGAGCCTCACTTCTTAGCTCGTGAAAGAAAGGAGCAAAGTAAGGCATAAGCAGGGCGATACTACTGTCTTAGGCATTTATGATGCTCTCATGGTGACTAACCGCTGTCTTCTAATCAAATAAATGTAGAAACGCGCCATATGATCGCAGGGCACTTTCATAATGAAAAGTTCAAAATCTGGTCATGGATAATCGATTACTCTCCTCCCCATCTTATGACAGCCATGGATGCTTCGGTCTCCGCAGTCGCTGCGTGCTCCTGTTCAGGCGAGCGTCGGTCGCGTCAATATGGTACCCATTCAACTCACCTATCCCCAAACTAACCTCAGCTATTCCACCCTACAGGTCACGCTCAGCTGCTACACGAATAGCCCGTGCAATGGTTCTGAGTGCACTAAATGGTTGGTTGTGGAGGGTGTCATGACTATCAAAACGCTACCACAATTTGATAATGCAACATTAATCGGTTCAGTTCCGATTGCGGTCGATCCATTTTCTTCTCATCTTATCGCAACCGTAGACGCCTTACCGCCGCAGGCGCTATGTGCTCCTATTCGCGAAATCGCCTCATCTGGTACCCCTTCACCACATCATATCCCACTGACCCTATTTAACCGTCGCCCACTCCCGCACGTGGTATGCAGCCGCCACGTGAGCAGCTGGTGCAACATAGGACACTACGCCGCCACTGTTCTCGTGCTCACGTCCAGCTCCCAAGCGATCAGCTCCTGCAATAGCACAGAGTCTATCAAAGTGGTAGGCTTAGATAGCGGGAGCGATTCACAATCCAAACAACTTCTTAGTTCGTTGCTGTAACATGGATTAGCTTGCAGTTTTGCTAGCGGTTGTTTCCTTCTC